ATCGAAGAATCAAAAAGCAACGTCGCTATGAACGCTTGGCTGCCACAAGCCAGTTAATATGTAGTAAGTTTCCTGGAAGATCTAAGCCACATTCGCGTCTTCATAAGCCACATTTTCGTCCTCATAAGCCACATTTTGGTCTAGCAGAAGTGAGTAGTAAAATACGTTTGTACTCTTATGGCACGTATTCTAGTCGCTAACGAATAATTTTTTTTATGGCAAGTATAATTATATTAGAGAAATGAGTAGTAGTAAAGATCATGAATTTTATGGTTCAGCCTGCTCTTTTCTTGCTTCCCTATTTTGCCTTGGGCATTTCAGCAGTTGAATGAATGAATATGGAATATAAAATGGGAGATTTTTTATTATTCTGTCGGAAATAACCGACGGAGATCACGGATCTGAGCTGTCGAAATATTTATTTTATGCAGTTCTTCGAGCGCCAGGAGGCGCTGATCTCTATAGTGATCTACGATAAATGCCAGCTTTTGTCCCAGGCGGAGTATGTAATGATATTTTTCAACAACTTCCAATATTAGTCCTCCCAGATTGTTGCAATAGGCTTCCATCGTCAGTAGTTCTTGATTTTGCTCCATTTGTTGGTGTCGTAGCAGCTGATATCCACGGTAGAATTGGTATGCCAGGCGGAACTTTCTCACACGAGCCATAGACTCCATTCTTTCCGCAATTTGAAATTGCTGAAGATAAAAGTGAGCAGGCTGTTCCATAATTGCCTCATTGGAATTTGGTAGAGGTGGCAAAGGCTGTTGCATATGTTCGATGTCATCCTCAATAAAATTCGGCGTGCCTTTATTTTTTTAAATATTTTTATAACAGGGAAAGTATTTTACCTATTTCGATCGTTTCTTTTAATTTCAATAGCTTTCCTATAAGTATCTCGCATAACGTGAGATAAGCTAAACAAACAATTGAGTGGACTATTTTATTACCATTTCTCACTGAACGCAAGGTAGCCAACTCCTCTTCATTAATAGACGGCACATCGGTAGTCGTTGCGATTGGCGGAGCTGGTTCTACTATCTCCGAAATTTCTCCAAGAACACTTTCCTCATTCTCTGCTTTACGCAACAGAATGGTATCATTTCTGAGCTGTAGAGAGCAGCCTGCTTCTTGAAACGCATTGCGAATGGCAGAAACTGTAGAAGAGACTGGCAACAAAAAATAAAAATAAAAGTTAGTTCTTTATTATATTCGGCAATTGAGCTGACTAACAATCGGTCTGTAATAAGATGGTTAAAGTTGCTTGTGTTTTGCCAAGTACAAAGGTAAGAGACAAAAACTAATAAGATGAGAAGAGGATAGGAAAAGGACAATTAGTCAGTGAGACTGAAATATATGATATCTTTATTTATGATGAATAAAACGATGGTATTTATACTTTTTAACATCTACACACGATAACGATAATTGGCTTGATTGCACATCTATTTATAATCATCCAAGAATTATGGGAAGAGCCTCTAGACTAAAGTGAACCTGATCTGACAGTGATTGTCGAATAAGGAACCATTGATCTGTACTACAGGAGCACTAGCGTTCAATTGAAGTATTGTAACGGCGCTCCAGGAGTTAGGTATAAGAGAGTTCACATATGATAGGCTATATGTGGAACAAGCTATAGCCGAAGAGCAGTAGCTGTGAATATTTATTGATAATGTTGTGATGGCACAACAGCTTGAACGCTCATCTCTATGCTTTGAGCACTGAAGACATCCATGCTGAGTAATTGTTGATACATTTAAAGAGGAATATAATAAAGAAAAAAAGGTTCAGTTTTAGAAGAATAAAAAAGAGATTTAAAACTCAGGGGCATTAAGTTTCTGGCTTTGAAATAGCAATTTATCATAAATAATTTATTATATTTATATCATTTTCTGCTTTCCTTTGTCCTTTTTATGGGAAGATTCTTTTTTAGGCAAGCCATCATCTGTGTTTTGTTTTTGCTTTTTCCTATGTTTAGCACTAGAGGCTTCCAATGATCGCTGTCGTTTTGTAGATTTAGTGGTAGGTGGTGGTGTCGAGTTAACAATGGACAAGGCTTCCTCATTGTTGTCACTAGGTTCCTTATGCTCCACATCTTCTACGTTTATGAAGCTTTGCGAATCCCGCTCAAATGAGCTTTCTACGTAGATGATTTCTTGAGATTGCAATGGTGAATCTGTTTCTGAAATAAAACTCATCAGAGAAAGTGATCGAGGTATAGACGGTTCGTTCGCAGTTGTGTACACAATGCTTGTTTCACCAGTCGCCAAATTGGTCGTTAAGACACCAGAGACGCTTGATTCCCTCGTGGCCAGTACACCTGGGTTACCAAATCCAACATGCATAAATGGTTGATAGGCGTCAGGTGGTTGATTAAAAACGGCAGTGACAACAAATCTGCCATTCTCACTGACCATTATTTGCTGCCTCGGTGTTGCGAACGGTTTGGGTAAGGAGGAGCAAAGAGAAATTGAGCGTGTATTGCCCGAAACAGAGACCACAGCACAAGCATTTAAGTCAGTAACTTTATGTGTGCTCATCGCCGCCTCATATATTGCTGGCTCCACATGAACAAGGACTGTAGCAGAACTATATGCAATTATAGGAACTATTAAGTCCATCGTCTACTTTGTGTTTCTCTTACTTACTAATTCGGTAGATGCAGCAGGAGTGAGTGATAGTTGTTACCAAGGATTTGTTGATTCTTTTTGAGATGTTTCACGAAAAAGACACCTCCAGAAATAAACGTTTTCCAAACGACAGACGGTACAATTGTAGTCATGATGACTTGTAGGAAAATAAAAAGGAAAGAAATGTTTTTATTTTCTTTCTTTTTATACTTTTTCCTGTTGACAAACAATGTATCCACGATTTACATTCACAGAGACTGAAAAAGCCCATTTTAGAACGTTAGAACAATTCAAAGAACTAACACCAAATGCTTTTTGCGCCTACTGCTTACAATTGCTTTACCCAAGCGAAGTGTATTACCAATCTGTTACCGAAGACGGCCCCTCATGGCCTTGTCTTCAGTGGGGCTATACACAGATGCAACATGAAGAAAAGTTTGATCATATTGTTGTCTGCCAACGACGCTTTAAGCACAATTCTTGTGTGATCCCCGAATATTGTGGTCCCATCTTGCCATATGAAACGACGTATCGCGAACGAGGCGCCGCGGCCCCTTTGAAATTAATGTCACGTATGACGCGAATGAAATCAAGTAATCGAGCTTATTGTGGTCAATACTAAGTGTCAGGCGCGCTTTGGACGGTGCGCAACTTGGAATTTAGCGAGATCATGTATGCTGGCGTCTTAGGTATTCCATATATGAAAGGTCTTCAGCGTCATGTAAACTATGATCGGGTTCGGCAGATCTTTGACGATTTGTGTGAAATGAATCCTCGCTTAAACGCTTACCGTCAGGACGATATGCAAAGACTATATGCCAAGTTCAGCTTATCTAAAATGGCGCGAACCGGAGAGCCCATCCCTCGTGATAGTTGGCCGGTCAATTATTTGATGCCAATAGCCGATTTGCCACCACGCATGGCAGAGATTCCTTTAGAAGACCTTCCAATTGGCAACTTACAAGATTTTGACGTCAAGCTACGCGATCATCCTGACTTTCTCGTACTATTGTTTCCATATTTGTATACTAATGGCCGTGGTTACTATTCACTTTGTAGTGATCCTCGCGATGGCAAGTCGGAAGCAGAGGGGGGTTATGCGATGGCTAATCAATATCAAACCTTCTCCAAATACGTCAAGCAACGTCTCCTACTGGCTGATCGACGCTTTGGACGATGTCCTGAGTTTATATTTTTTTGTATGGATATGATTGAAAAGCTCAACATCCACTCGAGCAACCGCCGAGTTGTTCCAATGGTTGAGGGAAGAACTCTTAGACGACGGGATGTGTTCGATGGGACATCAATGAATATGGCGACGGTATCAGTGGTACCACATACGGTACGCACGTCCTATGCGTACAAGCGCGTACATAGCTTGAACCTTCAAGCAATGTTTGATCATCTCGGCGCTCCGCAAATCTTTCTAACCTTGACCTGTGATGACTTTGCCAAGGAATACGACAATTTGTTGGAAGGAGAAAAGCCCTGGACAGATCCAATATTATTTGCCGTTCATTACAAGCGAATTATGCAAGAAGTAATGAATAAATACATCAAGAAAGGGGTAAGGCTTTTTTTTTTGTTTGGAAGGACTAAAGGATTTTTTTTAAAAAAAAAACGTAGCCGTTTGCGCGAAAATTAGGGGGCGTGCGTGATTGGTCCTGGACAATGGAAATTCAAGATCGTGGCAGCCCTCATATTCATATGGTGCTTTGGACAGGCAAGGCGTCGAATGAGCTTATCACAAGCGACGACATTGTCTGCTGTCGGATCCCGGACGCTCACCATGATGAAGAATTGCACCATCTGGTCACGTCTTTGCAAATTCATCAATGCGGCCCTTATTGCTTACGACAGAATCATCTCTGTCGTTTTGGCTTTCCCAAAGAACCGTCCGAAGAGAATGGATTCTGTCCGATGACGTTGCGGGCTTTTTATAAGCGATCAGGTGTAGATGCCCATGTCAACAATTACAATCCATATTTGCTCAAGTTGATGAAATGTAGTATGGATATCCAAATCAATAGTGGCCATCGTGTCCTGCCATATCTAGCCAAGTATCTGAGTAAGCCAGGTGAGGATGAAGCTACCATGGACTTCCATATGGAAACGGCGCATGATCATTTTCAAGCGAGAGTGGTTGGGGCTGTCGATGCCGCTTTCTTCGTGTTAGGGATGCATAAGCATCAGAGCAGTCGTGGGGTCGTGTTTATATCAACGACATTCCCTGGTAAGGATGAGCGACGTCAGTTGAAAGATTCGTCACGGTTGGCAACACTCCCAGAAGACTCTACGGATATTTTTACGGCAACGCATGTGCAGAAATATCTCAAACGCCATCACCAGCTGGAAGCGTTGACAATGCCTGAATATTTCACGACTTACTTCATTTTGTCTGAAATGGATATTCGAGACACATTTGACGATGATAACCCAACGATTTATGGGCAGACCAGCCGTGCAACGATTAATGCTCAAGAGCAGCAGTTTTATCATCCGGAGCTGCGAAAGTCAATTCCTAAGCAGTGTACAGACCAATTCGGCCGGCGATACAAGGCAAGGGCGGCTCGTACTAAACTGCCGTTATGGAGAACCCATCAGTATGCGCAAAGCGAAGGTGAAGCCTTCTTTTATCAGCAAATGATGCTTTACTACGCGATGAATCAGACGGACCATGACGAACTGTTGAGGATACATGGCAGTTGGCGTCAAGTTTTTTTGGCAGTCTGCGACAGTGACCGCTTCCAAATGGACTCTACACGCATTGAGGATATCAAAAGGTAATGTGTGATTCCTTTCTCCTTGCCTTTTATTTATTTTCTTGGGGAATGTGTTTAGACTGGATCGAACCATGCGTGTTCAAACGGAAGTGGAATCCACACTATCGGCTGATTTGAGTGATGTCCAACAGCAGTTGCAGTTGATGGTTCAGGCAATGACTGCACAGCAGAAAGGAATCTTCGAGAGAATTACCGAAGATTTGCAAACCGGAGCGAACGTGTACACTGTGTATGGTGCAGCAGGTACAGGCAAGAGTTTTTTGTTGAAGAGCCTGAAGCTCTGGATGATATCAATAGAGATGTGCCCTGTTGTGCTAGCACCAACTGGTGTCGCTGCCTATACGGTGGGAGGGCAAACAATTCATCGTTTTTTTGGGTTGACGATGAACGAAGAGGTGTATAATCCAATTCGGTTGGAGGACTTTGTCAAGTGTCATCCACGCATTGCCTTAATGATTGATGAAGTATCTATGGTCAGCCAAGCGATGTTGGAGAGATTGTCAGGCTATTTATCTGAGGTTATTGGTGATGGTTGTATTTTCGGAGGTGTTCCTGTCGTTCTCTTCGGGGATGTAGGTCAGTTGCCGCCTGTGGCCGTGGTGGAGGAAGGTCACTTTTTCCAAAGTGAAATCATGAATAATTCGCTCACCTTTCTTTTGACGGAATCACAACGGGTTCAGGGGGATGATCTTCCGTTTTTGGACTTTTTGGAAAAGATTCGCCGGGCACGCATCGATGCATCTGTAGTAGAATTTATTCGTCGTAGATGCGTCTTGGATTGTGATATTGGCTTTGAATGTCTTCGCTTGTTTCCCACCCGAGACGAGGTCAGAGAATATAATGAACTATCCATTTGCCAAATTCAGGGGGATGGTCGATGGTACGCTAGTCTGGACGTAGGGCCTGATTATATTTTAAGGGAGACTGGTAAGGTCAAAGACCTGTACCTTAAAAAAGGCATACCTGTCTTGTTGCTGGAGAATCTTGCTGTGACAGAAGGCTGGGTGAATGGGACGCGATGCATAGTGGAAAGTATAGATGAAATTGACGTTGTCCTTTTACGTCGTGTGGCTGATGGGCAAATGAAACTGATAGAGTATACGACTAGCAATGTTTATCGGACTCACTATTCGCGAAGTCAATTACCGATTGCTGTGGCGTTTGCTGCGACGATCCATAAAGTGCAAAGCCTTACTTTGGAACACGGTGTGGTCATCAGTTTAGCACATCCATTCTTGTCGCATGGGGAATTTTATGTAGCCTGTTCGCGTGTTAAGCATGGTGATGACATTTATTTTACGAGAACCAATTTGGAGAGCTTACAATTCGGGTTTGAGACGACCTCATTGGATTTTATTGAGCGATTGAATCACTATTTGGGGGATGGCGACGAGGTAGAGGCGTTGCAAGAAAGAGATTAACCTATTTGAGGATGTCAAATGTCGTCATGACCACAGTTGTGACATGAAAAAAAAAAGAATATAAATAAACGTAAACGATAAATTGCAATTGTGCCTTTTTTCTTCTCTTACTTTATTTATTAACTTAAATTTCTTAAATGGCTATCCTGACATTACAAAATGCTATACTACAAAGCAAGGCGACTCTGAAGTTGAAGGTGGACGGTAAGCTCTCATGTACTGCTTCTGTAAAAGAGGATGGTGCATTTTATAACCTGAGCACGAATCATGCCAATCTCTGCTTTTCTTTGGCGAATCTGAACCCTGGTGCGAATTTGAATGCTTCAGGTAAGTGTAATTGGGAGGGGTTGGAAAGTAAAAAAAAAAAAAAGGAACACTGTCTATTACCCCTTACACAAATAGAAGTAATTATCCTGCGGCCAGCAAAACTGTCTACTTGGATACTATTACTG